AGCCTCGCTGCTCCACTCCTCCCCACAGCCCCAGAGTCACACCACCGGCATCCCTCACTCCGCCCAACCCCCTGGCCTCTGCCCCCCGCCCCCCCAGGTGCTGCATGCAGCAGTAGTGAGTCTGATCACAACGAGCCCCGAGGCGATGGCGGGGGCGCTGCGGTGGGGCATGGCGCCACTGAAGGTGGTGGGAGTGGGCGTGGAGGCGGCCAAATTAACGCTGCTGCTGACGCTGCGCTTCCTGGGGCTCATCTTCCATGAGCTGCGCTCGCTGGCCCTCGGCACCGTGGCGCGCGGCATCCACTGGACCAAGCTGCAACCCCTCGCCACGCTTGACCGTCAGTGCTCCACCGCTCTCGTGCCTGTGCTGCCTGTGGGAGATGATGTTTGGTGGCAGTGGGGCGTGCATTGATCAACGAGCATGATGGTGTCATTCTGCTGCCCATGTCAACCCACACCCTCTTCCTCCACATCTCCTGCCCTTTCCCAACCCATTGCCCGCTTGCCTCTCATTTGCCGTCCTTGCTGTTTCTCTGCACAATTTCTCCGCTGACTTCTTCTCCTTGCGCCATCCTCTCCCCTGCCTGTTACATGCATCATTTAATCTGATTCCATGGACTTGTTACCCACCGCACCCGTGCGCCCCCCACCTATGCGCCCCACCCATGCGCCCCACCCATGCGCGCCCCCCATGCGCTCCCCCCACCTATGCGCCCCACCCATGCGCCCCACCCATGCGCGCCCCCCATGCGCTCCCCCCATGCGCTCCCCCCATGCGCTCCCCCCATGCGCTCCCCCCATGCGCTCCCCCCATGCGCTCCCTACCCATACACTTCCTTGATGCGCTCCCCACCCATGCGCTTTCTCCATGCGTTCTACGCCCATGCGTTTCCCCCCCATGCGTTCCCCCCCCCTATATGTGTTCCCCCCATGCGCCCCCCTTCTCATGCATTTCCCCCCCTCCATGCTTTCCCCCCCATGCATTCCCCCCCCACGAGTTTCCCACTGATGCACTCCCCCCTCCAATGCGCTCCCCACCCATGCGCTGATGCGCGGTGCGTGCACGGCAGTGGTGTTGTCGCTAGCGGGGCGCCTCTTCCAAAACCTCTTCACGCACACTGACCAGATCTCACAGGTGTGCTCCCTCACTCTCCCTCTCTCCACTACGCCCTCCCATCTTGGCCCTCGGATTGTCTCACTTAAGTGAGAGTGCAGCGTTGTGTAGAGCAGCAGCACCAAGACAGCATCACGGGGTACTGCCCATGCGCATCACAGCGCTCCACAAAGGGCCACTGCACGCCTCCACTTGTGGCGTCCACCCTGCCTTCACCGCTTGCATCGCTGTCTCCACAGTTGACTCGCTAACTCTCTCCATGTCTCCTTCCTCTCTTCCTCTCTCCGCTCTCCACCACGCCCTCTGCCACCTGCCCTCCCGTTGCCCCCCATCAGGCCATGATAGCGCGTGGGTACTCGGGGGACCCCACCACGCACCACCTCTACTTCCTCGGCCACTTTGCTCTGCACGCCCGTGACTGGGCCGCACTTCTGCTGCTCGTCGCCATCGTTGCTGCCGCTGCTTGCTCTGGCCTGCTGCTGCCTGCCTGACACGGCATGGCATGAACTTAGGGTGCATTCCTGCGGGGACACTTGTGTCTCAAAGCCTTTGTGACACGTAAAAACAGCATATAGCGTACAATGTCTCAAACGCGAATCGCCCTAGTGCGATTGTTACTGTATTTTTTATTGGTCAGCGTGAAATGCGCTGACGTCGCTGACGTATTGTAAACTGACTCGTCATTGTTTAAAAATCGCACGCGGTTCGAAATGTCAATGCACCTGGTCTGCCTGAAATGCCAATTTCGTGCGGGAAAAAATCCCCCGCGTCAAAACCATACCCCACCCAAGCGGTGGAAGACACGAGTGTACAGTTAATTCTGTCACCCAATCAAACGCGCCCAACTGTGCATTTCGCCTGGTCGCCTAGTTTCGTGATACATTCGTTCTTTGTGACGCGAGATTGACAAAATGTTCCGACCCGACTCGGGAAAAGGGGGATTGAGACACAAGTGTCCCTGCAGGAATGCACCCTTATGATCGGTCAACTCACTGTATCGTGCCAAGCAGGGTGCACGGGAAGCAGCGGGCGTGCTTGTAGTAATGAATCTCAACAAATGCCGTATACACACTAGATAGGATGACCCAATGGGCTATACGTGCGCTGTTTGCCTTTACCAAGAAGGTAGTGTCCAACAGTGAATCGACTGTAGTATCACGTCAATAGTCAAGTGCCTATCCTCTACTCTAACAGGTACAGTATATTGTTATCGTTGATGAGCTACAGAAATGAAAGAGGTTTTGTTCAAGATTTGTAACCAATGCTCTACAAACGTCGGGTCCACGCAACATATTGGGCTGAGATGAAACGTGTAGGATCTTTCAGAGACTAAGACTGAAAATTGTAAAACAAGAGTCTTGAATCTCTTTCTTGCCATACCCCGGATATAGGCGCAGGCCTAAAACAGGCACATACGCTCTTATATGAAGCATTGCCACTATATCCAGTCCTATATTATAAGCGCAGGGTAATGCAACCACAAGCCTGCTCACATGTGTTGCCAAAACACGCCATCCATGCATGCCGCCCAGACATACCATGCAGTGAGTGACATAACAAGATGCCGACCCTAGCGGTGGCCGCGCACCTGATGGGCACAGCAGCATCGGAGGGATGAAGAATGGCAACGACAGCATTCATGGGGGGAGGGGGAGACGGGGGTGGGGAAGTGGCAGGGGGGAGGCGATGTTGATGGGGAAGGGAATGGGTGTGGGGATGTGACAGGGCCACGAGGAGGCAGGCATTAGAGTAGGAACGATATGATGATGCCTATAATGAATTGTGCCATGTCGTGCTGAGGATGGTCGTCAGACGCCTCTGAGCATGGCATGAGAATAGCAGCGATGTGACGATGCGCAAGGCATGTGCCATGTCGTGCCGAGATGGTGCAAGGACGGTGCGAGAATGGTATGGTTTAAAGTTCCGTTCACTCACATCACACAAGTTGAGGTTGAAACCTGAGAATGGCAGAAATGCCCAAGCAAGTCCCAGCAGCCACCATACCGTACTTGTTTGAGGCACGAAAAAGAAGTTCATGACTTTGAAATTCCCCCTGAGGTTCTTTTGTGACGTCCCTAAACGAATTCTTGTTACCCGTCGCTGGTAGTCGCGGGCTTGTGAGTGGGTGAAGGGTGTGTTGGCAGTGGGCATGGAGGAGGTGAAGTGGGCTGGGCTTCCTGGGCGCAGGCCCCACCTCATGCATCATGCATCATGTAGGCATGGCGGAGGAATGAGGGGGGGAGGGGGACATGGCAAGCAGTTTTGCAATGAGCCGAGCTACGTTGACCACTTGGTTGAAATCTAAAGTCCAGAATCTTTGGAGAGAAGTTTGTGTTCACAGGAAAGAACGTGGGCTGATGTGGTGATGAGATGAAGTTGACCCCTGGTGGGAAGCTGGATGGCCAGCGGGTGAGGGAGAAGTGGGCATTTGGAGTGCAGCGAGGCAGAGAGCAAGAGCTTTCACGAGGTGGGCAGGTGCGCAATATGAGGAGGTGAGCAACGAGTGCAGGTGGCGGCACAGTCGGCGCACAGAACGTAGTGCTGCAACTGGCCTTGAGTGCGCCCATGCTGCACTGCACTGTAATCTGAGAGTCTTTCTAAATCAGATTATGTATGTGTCTTGATCTGACATATACTGAGTCACCTTATGTTGTGTCTTGATCTGACATATGCTGAGTCACCATATGTTGTGTCTTGATCTGACATATACTGAGTCACCTTATGTTGTGTCTTGATCTGACATATTCTGAGTCACCTTATGATGTGCATTTTGACGTATACCAGGTTGGATGTGATGTGGTGTGAGTGAGTTTACATCTAGGCCATGGCTCACCATGTAATGCATCTCTCCAGAGTCGTTCCCTGGTACAGGAGAATAACATGCAGCGCAAGCCAGCAGGTTGATTGAAAGACGTTGGAGGAGATTTAGAAGGGATTTGAGGAGAGAAGCAGCAATGCCATCTCAGGCCGCACCATCCAATGGAGCTCATTGTCAAACTCAACACACAAGGAAGACGGAAAGAATCACCCAAGTAAGTGAAAGTACATGAACGTGAGATCACAAACGTTCTCTTTCATGGGGACAACAGGAGGGACACGCCATGCGAGTAAGACATAAAAGAGTCAACCGTTTCGACTGAGAGCGCACTCAAGAGTGACACCCGTCTGACCCCTGCCAGGCTGCCAGCAAGAACACCAGCGCTGATATTGCGGGACCCATCTGATTGCATCCTCCTTTCTTCCTGCCTCCGGCTTCAAGAGTGCTGTGAAGAAGACGATGACATGGTGTGGCATGCAGTGGCATGGCATGGTCAAAGCAAAATATTGAAACAGCTGTGACATTAGAAAAAAAAAAAAAAAAAAAAAAAACCAAGATCAAATCAAGAAGAAGAGCTTGAAAGGTCAGAATTTGAGAGGGGCTCGGGGAAGAAACAGAGATGTAAGTGAACTTTACAGATGAGGGGCTCGGGCAAGGAAAGCGGGCAGAAGCACATGAATCATGTGACATACGAGCAGCATAAATAAATGTTGGGAAACTTGAGAGAAGCCAAGGGATATCACCAGGTCCCCAACAGTGCTCTGCATTACCACTGTTTTGCTTCGCTACTGGTTGCGGGCAAGCAGGTGCAGGCGAGTCATTCCTGTATTGATGGGCAGCAGTCGAAGTGCACTGGGGTTACTTGGCGCTGAGGTACTCGGTGATGTGGTGTGGTGTGGTGTGGTAACGTGTGGTGTGGTGTGGTACCAGAGCCGCCAGCACACTCTTCATCAGCATCAGCATCAGCAGCAGCAGCAGCAGCAGCATCGCTCGGAGCGTTAACAGCAGCATCCCAACCACCAAAGAGAATCAAAACATCGTCATCCACCCCTTCGCCCTCCTCCACCATCACACTTTCTTTCCCCTCCACCATCCACCCCCTTCCCCTGCACCATCCACCCCCTTCCCCTGCACCATCCACCCCCTTCCCCTGCACCATCCACCCCCTTCCCCTGCACTATCCACCCCCTTCCCCTGCACCATCCACCCCCTTCCCCTGCACCATCCACCCCCTTCCCCTGCACCATCCACCCCCTTCCCCTGCACCATCCACCCCCTTCCCCTGCACCATCCACCCCCTTCCCCTGCACCACCCGCCCCCTTCCCCTGCACCATCCGCCCCTTTCCCCTGTACCATCCACCCCCTTCCCCTGCACCATCCACCCCCTTCCCCTGCACCATCCACCCCCTTCCCCTGCACCATCCACCCCCTTCCCCTGCACCATCCACCCCCTTCCCCTGCACCATCCACCCCCTTCCCCTGCACCATCCACCCCCTTCCCCTGCACCATCCACCCCCTTCCCCTGCACCATCCACCCCCTTCCCCTGCACCATCCACCCCCTTCCCCTGCACCATCCACCCCCTTCCCCTGCACCATCCACCCCCTTCCCCTGCACCACCCGCCCCCTTCCCCTGCACCATCCGCCCCCTTCCCCTGTACCATCCACCCCCTTCCCCTGCACCATCCACCCCCTTCCCCTGCACCATCCACCCCCTTCCCCTGCACCATCCACCCCCTTCCCCTGCACCATCCACCCCCTTCCCCTGCACCACCCGCCCCCTTCCCCTGCACCATCCGCCCCTTTCCCCTGTACCATCCACCCCCTTCCCCTGCACCATCCACCCCCTTCCCCTGCACCACCCGCCCCCTTCCCCTGCACCATCCGCCCCTTTCCCCTGTACCATCCACCCCCTTCCCCTGCACCATCCACCCCCTTCCCCTGCACCACCCGCCCCCTTCCCCTGCACCATCCGCCCCTTTCCCCTGCACCATCCACCCCCTTCCCCTGCACCATCCACCCCCTTCCCCTGCACCACCCGCCCCCTTCCCCTGCACCATCCGCCCCTTTCCCCTGTACCATCCACCCCCTTCCCCTGCACCATCCACCCCCTTCCCCTGCACCACCCGCCCCCTTCCCCTGCACCATCCGCCCCTTTCCCCTGTACCATCCACCCCCTTCCCCTGCACCATCCACCCCCTTCCCCTGCACCACCCGCCCCCTTCCCCTGCACCATCCGCCCCTTTCCCCTGTACCATCCACCCCCTTCCCCTGCACCATCCACCCCCTTCCCCTGCACCACCCGCCCCCTTCCCCTGCACCATCCGCCCCTTTCCCCTGCACCATCCACCCCCTTCCCCTGCACCATCCACCCCCTTCCCCTGCACCACCCGCCCCCTTCCCCTGCACCATCCGCCCCTTTCCCCTGTACCATCCACCCCCTTCCCCTGCACCATCCACCCCCTTCCCCTGCACCACCCGCCCCCTTCCCCTGCACCATCCGCCCCTTTCCCCTGCACCATCCACCCCCTTCCCCTGCACCATCCACCCCCTTCCCCTGCACCACCCGCCCCCTTCCCCTGCACCATCCGCCCCTTTCCCCTGTACCATCCACCCCCTTCCCCTGCACCATCCACCCCCTTCCCCTGCACCACCCGCCCCCTTCCCCTGCACCATCCGCCCCTTTCCCCTGCACCATCCACCCCCTTCCCCTGCACCATCCACCCCCTTCCCCTGCACCACCCGCCCCCTTCCCCTGCACCATCCGCCCCTTTCCCCTGTACCATCCACCCCCTTCCCCTGCACCATCCACCCCCTTCCCCTGCACCACCCGCCCCCTTCCCCTGCACCATCCGCCCCTTTCCCCTGTACCATCCACCCCCTTCCCCTGCACCATCCACCCCCTTCCCCTGCACCACCCGCCCCCTTCCCCTGCACCATCCGCCCCTTTCCCCTGCACCATCCACCCCCTTCCCCTGCACCATCCACCCCCTTCCCCTGCACCACCCGCCCCCTTCCCCTGCACCATCCGCCCCTTTCCCCTGTACCATCCACCCCCTTCCCCTGCACCATCCACCCCCTTCGGGTGGTGGAGAGGTGGGAAACGGCAGCGAGTCGGGGGCTGGGACATCATAGAGGAGAGGTGGAAGGGGGGCATGGGGGGAAACAGAAGAGCGAGGTGGGGGCGGGGGGGGGGTGGAGAAAAGAGGGAGGTGTTTGGGTCTGGGAAAAGGAAGGAAGAAGAGCAAGGAGGAAGGGCATAGAGGGGCGGCAAGATGCCAGTGGACATGGGGCACGGCATGGGCATGTGAGGGTTTTGTGGGTACAAAGTGGTCAAATGGGCATGGGGTATGGGGTTGCTGTATGGCCACGACATGCTGATGGAGTTGAGTTGAGGTGGCACGGTACTGGGGATTGGTGGACATGGGCATGTTGCAGGCACGCGTGGCTAGTCACTCACTCCCTGAGTCGCACACAACTCAATGTTAAGTGAACCGGCTTGGTCAGCTAGATGGCATGGGGCAGATTCAAAGCATTCCACAGCACCATCGGACTTCATTGAGTTGAGAGGCGGAGAATAGAGAACAATGCAGTCACACAACGGCCGCGCTGCCACTTAGTGTGGCTCACAGCGGCAGCACCAGCTCGCATTGGAATGATGGGAGGAGAGTGCAGCAGTGTGGCAGTGCGCATTGGAATACCATCCATAGCAACTGTGCATGGGTGCGAGGCTGCATTAGTATGTGACCTCAAGATTTGTGGTGCCGGGTGTGCTGGAGTGCACTTTAGATCAGAATGGATCGTAAAGAAACAAAGGGATCTCAGTGTAGCGTGTCAGGCCATGGGTAGGGAGTGGATGGGCTAGAAACTTTTTAAGACCATGCTACCTCCAGACTTCACCTTTGCTCTCGTGTTCTTCTCAACCATTATGCCAGATGAAGAGGTTACGTGCTACCGAGTCACATTCTTCCACGTCACCTTCTCCACTTGAATGAATCGACGGTCCGGATTAGCCTTCAGCTGGTTCACCACAAACTGGATGGCCGTGATCTGATGGCAGGGGTAGGGGAAGGGAAGGTGGGAAAGAAAGGGGGAACTGGTTCACCCCCTCTCCACCACAAACTGGATGGCCGTGTTTGGTTTTAATAGCAGAGGGGGTGGGCTTGCTGTGAAAGGGGTAACAGTGTTACATGTTCGCACTGAGGGGGTTTGAGGAGAAATTAAGGGGTTTAACAGTATTACATGTACCTCTCCAGGGGTGACCTGGAGAAGTACAGGTGGAGGGGGGGTATGAGTAGGAAACGTTACCACGCAATGTGAATTTGAGGGAGAGGAGGGACCTCGTAGGAGGCAAGATAGGGACAGGTTATGTCGGTCAGTTATGGGTGTGGTGTGGACGCTCTTTTTTGCGCATAGTACTGTTCAACCATGCTTGGCCATCCCAAGTCATCAGATGCACGTTTCCTGGCACAATCTACAAACCCGTATTATACGCACTGCTGCTCCAGTACTGATGCCAACGTTCTCTGCTCAATGAAGCGAAATGATTCCGCTATTGGGAGGCATGTCGTGAGCCTTACTGCTGTGGCGAGTATTACAGCACAGCATCTACAAGTGCTACATGAAGCGAAATGATTCCGCTGTTGGGAGGCATGGCTGTGGCATTTTTGCGCGGCAATCGGTCCGTGGCGGGGCATAGCACTGCAGCCCAGTGCCTTGGTCGGCTCAGCTATATGTCCAGTACCAAACCACTTTTACTATGACAATGTGGTTTGGTACTGGACAACATTATGAGAATGGGCAAGCTCAGCAGGGGACAACAAGAGGCAAGCTCTACGGGGACAAGAGACAAGGCTTGTCAGATGATTCTAAATCAAGCAAGGGAGGGGCCAGCCAGAGGGAAGCAGTGCACACAAGTGGGCGAGCACCGACTTGCTCAAACAGTATACAGCACATACAAGGGATACCCGTACTGGGGCAGCGTTGCCTGCCACGGGTTGAAGCCCGACTTGGCAACGAGGCTGGAGCCGCCAGAAGCAGAGTTCATGCGCGACGTGGGGCACGCAAAGGCAAAATTCCACATCTTCTTGTAGTCGCCCGCCCTTGTCTTGGCGGTCTTCTTGGCTGTGTACGTGAGCCACGCCTCCGATGCCGCCACGCCCGCTGTGATGGGCGGCGCCGGGAAGTCCTGCACCCAAACAGCGGTGCGGGTGCCGGCCTTGATGCTGGTGGGCAGCACCACGAAGCGACCTTGGGTTGCAGTGCTGGCGGTGAGAGTGAGGTCCAGGGTGCTCCTTGAGTTGTCGATGACGGCATACGACGAGTAGTCCTGCGTGCCGCCCTCCACTACGTCCTACGCCTTGGCGCCCACGTCGCCCGCGATGCTGTACGTGGCGCCGCTGCGCAGCACCTTCTTGAGGCTGCCCTGCAGCGTGGGCATGTCGATGGTGAGGAAGCTGAACGCATTGCTGCCGCTCACCAGGTCAGGGGCGCCAGCGCACTCGAACCCGGTGTTGATGTAGTTGGCCAGCACCAGGTTCACCAGCCCGCGCACCGGCACGTGCGTGTGCCCGTACACAACCAGGCTCGCCCGCGACTCCAGAGCTTGCTTAGTGGCGAACCACCCCATGTAGCTCGAGTCAATGTCCGCCCACAGCGCCTTGAGCGCCACCTGCACGCCAGCAGCGCCGCCCCCATTCTCCGCGATCCACCTCTGGAAGAGAAAAGCATACTCTTGCTTCGCCTCCGTGGTCGCCGTGGTTGTGCCGTCCAGCATGATGATCTCTGCGCTCTAATTGGCTCCGTAGAAGCGCGCGTAGGCGTCGAGCACCTGAGGGGCGACGGAGTAGTTGCCCGCTTGGATGCCGAGCAGGATGGGCAGCAGGTAGCTGCTCGCGGAGGTGGGCGGATGGGCAGCAGGTAGTTGCTCGCGGAGCTGGAGCCGGGGTTCCCCAGATTCGGCAAGTCGCCCACTGTGGTGTTGGGCGGAGGTTGGCGGCCCAGTATGAGGAGATGATCCTGGACAGGAAGTGCCCCGGGGGCAGTGGTGCCCACTTGCTGCTCTTGTCCGGCGCGTTGAAGGTGGCCGCCTCGTGCCCGTGCGCGATGAGCATGCGCGTGTCGCCGCCCGGGTTGTAGCTCCGCGCAGCGAACTTGACGTAGTGTCCCCCCGGGGACCTGATCTGCGCCACGTCAGCGGCGGTGAGGTGCATATCGTGGTTACCGGGGATGAAGGTGACGCGCCCCCCCAGCGCGTCCAGCACGCGCGAAAAGCCGCCCGTGGGTCCGAAGAGTTTGGGGTTGGCAGCGAGGATGGTGGCGAGGGAGGGGGGTCGGGTGTGGAAGGGGTGGTACCAGAACTCGAAGATGTCGCCCGCCAGCACCACCTCCGCGATCGACTCGTTGCGCACCACCACGTCGTCCAGGATGGCCAGCAGGTGCCCCTCGTGCACGTGCAGCTGGTAGTTCTGCGTGGGGCTGCCGTCGCCGATGTGGATGTTGCTCAGCACCACCACCAGCCTTTTCAAACCCCACGCCGCCGCTGCCGCTGGCGCCACCTTCACCATCTCCCGCCGCGCGTCTTCCTGCCCCGCCGAGACGCCGCCGCTGGAGGACAGGGCCTGCGAGGCACAGGCGAGCAAGGGGGGGAAATGATGAGGAGACCTTGCAGCGAGATAGTAGATGATGTCTGTGCGTGATCATGACTGACATACATATGCAGCAGACAAAGGACATCCCTTACAACGAAGCAGCAAACGGTGCTCACTCATCATAGTTTCTGACATCTCTTACTACTACTATATAACGACTGTAGTAAAGGCTCACCTGGGCGAGCAGGCTGCGCAGTGCGGCTCTCTTGGTAGAAGCCGCAGCGAGCGAGACGAGCAGCAGCGCGGCGGCTGCAGCGGCGAACTTCATGGCGGCCGGAGGCGCTGTCTGGAGCACAACGTCGTGTGGGGGCGAATCGTTGACTGGAACTGCGCGATGCTAAGAAATGTTGCACCGCGGCTTTCACACCACAGTGGTGCATATCTTCCTGCGCCCACGTGGTCAAGCGTTTTGACGCTAGTGTGGTCCGTATTCCATGGCCTACGCTAGCGTCAAAACGCTTGACTTGTCGCGTCGCGTCCACCATTAATCGCACTGTAGAGATTAAAGTCAAGCATTTTGGCGTTTTCCTGAGCTCGCCGAGAAATAAAGTCGCGCGTTAATGCTATTTGCAATTTTGACGCAAATCGCAAAATCGTGATCCCCCCCCAACTCAAAAGCGAAAACACAAACTTAACCCTCCCAAACCAGCATTTCAGCCCCCAACTACACATCACCGCACAGCATCTAGAAAAGCTTGGTGAGTGTGAGAGTGTGAAGCACAGCACACACTCACACAGCCCCCATCCGTTTCCGAAGCACTCATTTTAACGTTTGAAGTCCAAGTGCTCCAAAGGTGTGGAGATGTCGGCACAGATACACAAGAGCCTAAAAAAAAAGGTTGAAACCAAATGTGACCAATCATTCCATTATCGTCAGCGATTTCCTAAATATGTACGTAATAGTTTAGGTTACGTCTTGATTGTTGCTTGTTGGAAACAAGTAATTTAAGCGCTTCTGTCGTGTGACGAAACACTAAGTCGTAACGAAGCAAAGCACAAACGAAGCATTGGCAAGTCAACCATCGGAGGTTGACAACTGAAGCAACCGCTGGAGGTTACGCGAAGGTCAAAGGTCAGCGACCTTTGACTTGACAAATACAGCGCGACAACAAGGACAAACAACTGACTCGATACAGAGCAGTTGCCCGAGTCGTCACTGTATCGAACCGCAACAACAACAGTAAAACAGTTATTAGTTGTATCTCTTCATATTCCTTGTACTCTTATAAAACCTTGTATTTTCTTGTTTTAATCAATCTACTTTGCCCTCACATACCAGCGCAAGGTGGTTCAATACTCTTATTAAAACGCTTCCGCAACTACAACATTCCTACTCAGAGTTTAGTCCTGTAAAGATCCTAAGGGCTTTTTCTCAGCCCAACATGGTATGAGAGCTATCAGGGCAAACTCAACCACTTCCAAGACACCTACAACATCAGAAGGCATGGCAACACAGAAGGAGAGAACCTCCTCTAACGGCTCTCCCGGTACTACTCCTGTCAAACATTATATATGTTGTGCTTGTTTAGGCTACAGTAGGTTAGTCTATAGGGGGTACACAATTCTAGGGTTAGGTACTTGTACTCATTTTCACTGTTAGTTCGATCATTCCTGTTTGTTCATCTCAACATGGTATAGAGCAGGTCCTTCGCTAGGACCGTTTTTAGGGCCCACCACTACCTACCTACCTACCTACCTACTACGCCCTAGGGCGCCTCGTGCTTCACGGCCCACTAAGGCCCCGCGACCCGCCCCTTAGCGACCTACGCGCCGCCCCTTAAGGCCCCGTCGGCCCACGCGCTAGCCCCTTAGCGACCCCGTCGGCCCCGCGATCGCCCCTAACGGCCCCGTCGGCCTCGCGCTCACCTCCCTAGAGGCCCCCCCGTCGGCCCCGCGCTCGCCCTTAGCGGCCCCTTACGGCCTCGCGCTCGCCCCTACAAGCCCCGAACGGCCCCGCGCTCGCCTTTAGCGGCCCCTTACGGCCCCGCGCTCGCCCCTAGAGGCCTCGAACGGCCCCGCGCTCGCCCCTAGAGGCCCTGAACGGCCCCGCCAGAACGAGCCGCACGAACCGAGCCGCCCAGCCCGAACCGAGCCGCCCAGCCCGAACCGAGCCGCCCAGCCCGAACCGAGCCGCGCCGCCCGAACCGAGCCGCGCCGCCCTACCTGAACCGAGCCGCGCCGCCCGTACTGGACGGAGCCGCCCTACCTGAGTCGCACTGCCTACTGTTTCTGGGGTGCACCTACTGCTATTACTGCTACTCTACTGTTACTCCTACTACTGCTATGGCTAGCCCTCCTGTGCTAGCTTTCGATACTGAGGGCCGCCCAGTGAGGTTCGAAACCTGGCTAGATGACCTACACCTCTTCCTACAGCTCACTGCCAAGGAGGACATCTCACTGTACGATCACGCCCTAGGCCATGCTACTGCTCCTGCTGCTACTGCTGACAGCACCACCCGCTCACAGTGGCAGACTCGTGACGCCCACGCTCGCTTCGCTATTCGCAACTCCCTGCCGATAGATGAGCGCGAGCACTTTGGGCAGCACAAGACTGCACAGGCACTGTACACTGCTGTCGTTGCCCGCTACTCCTCACCGGCCTCTGCCGCACTAGGCCGTCTCTCTCTTCCCTACCTGTTCCCCGACTTAGCCTCTTTCCACACAGTCGCTGACCTCATTACGCACCTCCGCACTAGTGAAGCTCGCTTCCGCGCCGCCATGCCTGATGAGTTCCTTGCCAAGAACCCACCCCCGCTCTGGCTCACTCTCTACCACCTAGTCACCCGCCTCCCTGACACTCTGCGCTCAGTCAGGGACCACTTCCTAGCTCGCTGCCCCACTGAGCTCACCATTGCCCTCCTCGAGAAGGAACTCCTTGCAGCTGAGGCTAGCATAGTCGCTGTAGGTGCCTCTCGTGGCGACCCCCGTACCCCGTTCTTTGAGGGGTGTTCTCCTTCCCCCCTTCTTCCCTCTGTCGCCTCTGCTGCTGCTGTCGACCTCCTTGGTGCTGAGAAGGTCGTGACTGCGTCTGCTTTGAGCGGGCGCCGCAGCGGCAAGGGCAAAGGGGGCAAGGGCGGTGGCGGTGACAGCGGGGGAGGCGGTGGTGGGGGCGGTGGCGGTGGTGGGGGTGGTGGCGCGACTGGAGGGGCTAGTGGCAGCGGTGGGGGTGGTGGCGGCAGCGGCGGGGGAGGTGGCAGGGGCGGAGGCGGTGGTGGGGGTGGCAGTGGACGCGGCGGCGGCAGGGGTTGGGGTGGTCGAGGAGGTGGCAGCGGCGGTGGTGGTCGTGGAGGCGCTGGCGGTGGCCAGGGCCAGCAGCACACTCCGTCGCCCCAGGAGGTCCGTGGGTGGTACTCTCAGCACGGGGGGGGGGGGGGTGGCTTTAGCTGCACGTACGTCATTCGCACTGGTGACCGCACTGGTCAGCCGTGTGGGGGACCGCACGCCACACAGCGCTGCTTCGCTCGTCTCAACGACGCTTGGCGTGTTCAGTTCCCTCAGGCCACTGAGCTGCCCCGCTGGGTTGATCTCCTGAAGAAGGGGATTGATATCTATGCTCTAGACTTTGATGCTATTCTAACTGCTATGTATGTGATGTCTACTAGTGGAGAGGGTGCTGAGTACCTGTGTGTGCCGCCCGACCCGGGCATTAGGACTAGTGCGTCTGCCGCTCCAGGTACTCACGTGTCTGCTACCCCAGGTGCTGGTGAGGCAGCTGCTCTAGGTGCTTGTACGTCTGCCCCCCCTGGTACTGAGTCGACTGCAGCACTGCACACCTTCACGCTGGACTCAGGTGCTTCTCGCTGCTTCTTTCGTGACCGCACTGCCCTTGAGCCGCTTCCTCGGCCAGTTGCTGTCTCCCTCGCTGACCCCTCTGGGGATCCGGTCATTGCGACCTCCTCCACTGTCCTTCCCTGTCCTGCGGTCCCGTCGGGCACACTGTCAGGTCTCCACCTCCCCTCGTTCTCTACGAACTTGGTGGCAGGTTGTGCACTCCAGGACGGGGGTGTTCACCAGTTCACCCCTGCCTACGAGCGCGTGACACACTGCACGTGTGCTCGTACGGGCCGCCACTTGGCTACCTTCACACGGCAGCCGGGGTCGGACCTGTACACACTGACCACTGAGTCCCCTCAGGTCGCTGCGTCTGCGTCTGCGTCCGCGTCAGGTCAGCTCTCTGCCCCCTGCTCGTGTCGCTCTCTGGCGCACGAGACTGTCCTCTGGCACCACCGACTTGGCCACCCGTCTGTGCAGCGCCTTCGTGCCATGCACTCCCGGTACCTTGTCTCTGGTCTTCCCAGGGTCCTCCCTCCCCTCCCGCCCTCGCCCGCTCCTCCCTGTCTTCCCTGTGTCGAGGGGCGGCAGCGCGCCGCTCCTCACTCCTCCTCGTTTCCCCCGACTACTGCTCCCTTGCAGACGCTCCACATGGACGTGTGGGGCCCAGCCCGCGTCCGTGGTCAGGGTCAGGAGAGGTACTTCCTGATAGTTGTTGACGACTACTCGCGCTACACCACGGTCTTCCCCTTGCGCACCAAGGGTGAGGTCCCTGATGTCTTGATCCCTTGGATCCGCAGAGCTCGTCTCCAGCTCAGCGAGCGTTTTCACTCGGACTTTCCTGTCCTGCGCTTGCACTCTGACAGAGGTGGTGAGTTCTCCTCCGACCTCTTGGCAGCCTACTGTGCTGAGCACGGCATTGAGCAGTCGTTCACGCTTCCGGCCTCTCCACAGCAGAATGGGGTTGCAGAGCGCCGCATTGGCCTGGTCATGGAGGTCGCCCGTACCTCCTTGATCCATGCGGCTGCCCCCCACTTTCCGTGGCCGTTTGCGGTCCGGTACGCTGCGCATCAGCTCAACCTCTGGCCCCGTGTCTCCTTGCCGGAGACCTCGCCCACACTTCTGTGGACGGGGGAGGTTGGCGATGCGTCGCGTTTCCGGGTCTGGGGATCTCGAGCTTTTGTCCGCGATACGTCTGCGGACAAGCTCTCCTCCCGTGCTGTTCCCTGCGTCTTCCTCGGCTTTGTCCCGGACGCGCCTGGTTGGCAGTTTTACCATGCCACCTCGCGCCGAGTCTTGCCCTCTCAGGACGTCACTTTTGACGAGTCCGTCCCCTACTACCGCCTCTTCCCCTACCGCACTGCCCCGCTCCCCCCCCCGCCTCTCTTCCTCGCGCCAGGTGCTGCTGTCGTAGACCCCCTCCCCCCTCAGGGTGCCGCTCCCTCAGGTGTGTCTCAGGTAGACCCGGTTGAGCCTGTTGAGGTAGCTGTCGACTCT